TTTTGCTTAGTCCGATTGTGCTGAAATTTGAATCACTAATGCCTGATCACGGCCTGAATATAATACACTATAAAACATATGAAAAATGAACTCTATAGCGCCCCCTACCATAGATATGAAACGTCAACATTATCGGATTAGCACCAAATTTGGAAATAAAATTCTATGCATGATTACAAGCAAAAAAGTCCATTACGGACATGGGGTATTTTTCACAGTTGGCCAGCAGGGGCACAAAGACTCCCCCCAAAAATAGTAAAAAAATGATTGTATGCCCATGTTTAATCAAATTCAAATTCAAATTCAAATTTATTTATATAGCACATTTAAAACAACTTCAGTTGACCAAAGTGCTTCACATACAAGTCAACAGCAACAGCATAGAAGAAACAGTTACATATACAAATATACAGAAAACATGTAAAAACTACCAAGATAACCTGACTATCTCGTACTAAATGCCAGGGAGAAGAGGTGAGTTTTCAGTCTTGTCTTAAACTGCGTTACAGACTGAGAGGATCTGACAGCAAGAGGAAGGCAATTCCATAGTCTGGGCGCTGCCACAGAAAAAGCTCTGTCACCTCTTGTCTTGAGACGAGTTTTGGGCATGACCAACAGGAGCTGGTCGGCTGATCTCAGGGCTCTGGGGGGAGTATAGGGCTGCAGTAACTCCCTCAAGTAGACTGGACCCATGGAGTGCAGACATTTAAAAACAATTAACAACATTTTAAATTGCACCCGGTATAGGACAGGGAGCCAGTGCAGGTCACACAGAAGGGGTGTGATGTGTTCACATTTTTTAGTATTTGTCAGCAGACGAGCTGCAGCGTTCTGGACGTGTTGTATGCGTTGCAGGGAGCCCTGGTCTAACCCTACATATAAAGAATTACAATAGTCCAGGCGTGATGTTATGAAAGCATGGATCACTTTTTCGAACTCTGCCCGTGGGAGATAGGGCTTTACTTTAGCGAGGAGCCTTAACTGAAAGAAGCTGGACTTAATCACAGCGCTAATGTGCTTGTCCAGTTTGAACGTGGAGTCCACAATCACTCCAAGATTCTTCACTGCAGGAAGACGGATCGTGCTGAAATTAGAATCAATAATGCGTGATCTGAGCCTGAATATAATACACTATAAACCATATGAAAAGTGAACACTATAGCGCCCCCTAGCATAGACATGACCCGTCAACATTATTGGATTTGTACCAAATTTGGGAATTAAATTCTATGCATGATTACAAGTCAGACAGTCTATTGTGGACATGGTGCATTTTCCGCTGTTGGCCAGCAGGGGCGCAATGACTCCTAAAAATATTTAAAGGTGCATTATGTAATGTGTCTAATGGACGAGCTGTTGGCCTGGGTGGATGTCGGGTAGAGAGGGTGACGTGCCGGGGCGGTCGCGAGTACCCGGAGGTCGCGTGGGGGGGCCACCATCGCCGCGCGTGGCTTTAATTATTATTAGTGTTATAATACCAAGCCTTGAGATGTAAGTTTCTATAGAGGCAGAATAAGTCACCCATTGTCTGAAATTCATTAACACCATTGGTAGGGGCAAATGTAAGACCCGTAGATAACACTTTTGTACGTTCATTACTTCGGTTCTTCTTCACATAGCTGTTTGTCTTCCTTCATCTGCCTTGCCTTGCTCTGCGTTTGTGCAAGGGTTGATGGGAGGGTGAAGGGATGGCCACTCCATCTCAGAAAAATCCTGTTCCATGGAGTTGATGGACTTTCCCTCATCATCACTGCTGGTGAGATTGAAGGATACCCTCCTGGGCCAGCACTCTCGAGGTCCTATGATGCAATGATTCCAACGATAGACATTTCCACGTTCATAATCATTCAAATCCCTCCTGAAATTCTGGAGTTTATATTGCTTGATTGTAGTTTCCATCTTCCGTAGATTTTCATTAAGTTGTTCAGATAGGGAACAGATTGTTCAATCAATGCTGCGTCATCATGCCCATAAAGGCCCGTTCAGACCAAAGCGTCAAAGCGTCCACTTTCTATGTAAAGTCTATGTGGACGCGCGACTAGAGCGTCCTGCGTTTTTGCGGCGCGTTTTCAGCGTCAGCGCGGCCCGAATCTGGCGTCGACGCGGCGCGTCTTGAGCGTTTTGGCGTCAGTGGCCAAGACGCGCGTCCAAAGCGTCAGCGTCAAGAAGTTGAAAATGCTGAACTTTTCGCGTCAGACGCGCCGCGTCAACCAATCAGGGACGAGTATCCAGTGACGCAGCGACGTTATTATCAGGAAGCAAGACCCGAGAACCTGAACGAGAACCTGAACGAGAACCACCAACATGAGCGGAGCATAAATATATACGCCATAATCACCGAGCCGATCTCGAGGACTACACCAGGACCGGACCAGGACTAAACAAGGACTAGACCGGGAGTAGACCGAGACTAGACCGGGAGTAGACCGAGACTAGACCGGGAGTAGACCGAGACTAGACCGGGACTAGACCGTGATTAGACCAGGACTAGACCGGTATTCGACCAGGACTAGACAGGGACTGATTCAGTGTCATTAGCGGAGTATAAATATATATACGCCCCAGTCGTCGACCCGATCTCTTCCGCTGATGTTTTATGTCATAAAAACACTCTGTCAGTCTGGTCTGATATTGTTTCGGGAAAAGACCGGGACCGGGCTTTTGTTTCCAGGGCAACGGACGCGCGTCAAGTATTTTTGTCCCGTTTGTTCACGGCGTCAAAGACGCGCGCCGGGGGCGTCTAAACTCAAATGCAAACGCGTCCAAATAGAGGCGTCAAGGCGTTTTTTGACGCTTTAGTGTGAACGCCCCTTAAGAGGGAAACTCAGAGTTATGGAGACCCGTGGAATGCGCCCTTGCTTCCAATAGTCTAATAAGGATATAATATGCCACTTCAGTTTCAAATCCTTCTCCAGGATAACTTAAACATGTGTGATTGAAACAAAACATAACGTCACAGACAAGTCAATTTTGAGTAATATAGCCTATAAGACTGTGATAGAAATTTAGATTGTGGAAAGATTTCTTTCAATCTGTCTATGTGTAAATGAATGTGATTTCTACCTGAAACCCAGACCAGTCATTAACATGTGTAAAGGTTCGTCAGACAACTGTCTCCTCCTCAGGAAGCCCTTTGTTTATCTTACCTGTCCTCAATTGTATGTTAATTTAGCACCAGCCTCTGAAACCAAAGTCACTCTGCTTTGATATGTATGTAACTTGTATTTCTGTATAAATACTCAGAGCTCAGATGCTCTGGGGCAGATACTGGGCAGATACGTGGGCAGAGACTCGGGTCAAATGGAGTAGGGACATGCTGCTGGAGGAGAGGCTGTTTCGCTGTAGTCACGGCAGGCCTAGGCCCTGTCCATATTTGCTGTAACAAGAATAAACCTTGGTCTATATTTCAAAAACTCATCGGGCTTCGCAAATGGATTCATTATTTTATCTTCAAGAGAGATATATAATTTTTGCCACAACAAGGACCTTTAATGTGTTACTAAGGGAGTCTGGAAGTTGTTTCTTCCACATGCCATGTCTTTTCTATATCGCAATGCTTGTTTCTGTGTTGCTGCACTGCTGCTGAACATTTTCTTTTGGATCATTAAAGTATCTTTCTTTCTATCTATCTACATCTATCTATCTATCTATCTATGTTAAGAATCACTGGTCGGACCCAAATATGCAGTAACAAAAAGTATTTAACAAAATAGTCGTGGACGGGGGGATTGATTCCAGGGGAGGTAGGACGGGTCCAGGTTGGCTGAAGTGCAAAGGTGAAGAGGCTGACCAGAGGCTTACGGAACAGGTGGTAACGGGATGAGGCTGGCTCCAAAACGGTTGAACTGGGGAACGGACAAAAGTAAACAGATAAGAATCAAAAACCTTCAAAATGCTCAAAAACACAAAAAGCCTGAGTAGTTCACCACATGGTTGACAGAACGATCTGGCACTGGAGAGCAGGTCAGCAGATCTTTTATTGCAGGAGATGATTACTGACGAGGATCAGGAGTGGAGCTTAGCAGGTGAGATGAATTGGGGACTCGCCCAGGAAAAGCCAAATAAGGTGTGAGAAGGGAAGACGGAGCAGGGAAAGGAGGGGTAGGAGAGGCAGAAAGAAACCCTCACAATCTATCTATCTACATATATCTATCTATCTACGTATATCTGTCTATCTATCTATCTATCTATCTATTTATCTATCCAATTGTCTTCCCTTATAACAAGCAAATACTGTCTATTAAAGGTAATAGACCTTTAATATGTGTGTTATATATATATATATATATATATATATATATATATATATATATATATATATATATATATATACACACATATATAGTACAAATTTGTTTAGTTTTCCTGCAAAAATAAAGTGTGTAGTGCACTATTGAGTAATGCCTATGTGTAGTAATTGTGCCAAAAGTGCAGAGTGATGGAAAAGTAGTGTCTTACTCAAAATGTCCACAATCTATCACACAAAACAACAGGGGCCTTTATTTGTACAATGCAATTTAATAAAACAATCCACAAACAAACAAAACAAGCCAGTGTCATTACAAACATACTTTGAAACAGGCAGATTTTCTTATAAACTGGACAGTGTATTATTCTGCTGCAGCCACATCTCTCTTCAAAGCTGAGGAAAGAAACCAAACACAACTGTCACATTATACTACAGAATTCATGTATGTCTATTATCCTACTGCATTCACTGTGCTCTCGAGCTACTGTTCTAGAAGATACTAGCCCTTTCAGAATAGAATAGAATAGAATAGAATAGAATAGAAAGCCTTTATTGTCATTATACAATAGTATAATGAAATTCAGAGCTGCTCTGCCAAAGTGCAAGAATTAATAATAAATAAATAATCAAATACTTGCAACTTTTGGAATTATTATTTGTTCAGGGAATAAAGCATTGCAAAAATAGCCTGCTAATTAATACTTAAATTCAATAATGAGAAGAACAAACAAAATACACATGATACAATACAAACATCAACATCAATACAAACACAAATAAAATTTAATTAAATGAATAAAATCCCTGTGTCCAGTAGATTTTGTATCACTGTAGTATCAACATTGTTATGGTAAGTCTTTCCAACTGAAATTAAGTTTGATATGTTAGTATCAAGACAACACTGCGTCATATGTTTTCAGTTATTCATGATAGCACTGAAAATGTATTTATCTCAGCTATTTTCAACTGAAGGGGGCTTTACTTCCTCCTATACTTGTGTTCTTGATCAGTCTTGCATCATGACTGAGTGCTGGATGTAGTTTACCTGATGAGTTCCTCAGAGGAGAGCCATAAGAGGGAGCACCACTGACGTACTTCGGGATCCATTTGACATTAGTGGTTTGGCTCATCTTACCCCACTCCTCCTTCTGCTCCTGAACGAGCACAGGGCACACAGGGCAGTCACAACATGTACAATGACCAGAGGGTCAAAAGTGAAGGACAATCACATCCATGTAAACAGAACATGCAGCGAGATCAACAGTCAAGGACACGGTATGATTGCACGTGGTGTTATTTCCTGGCCCAGGCAAAAAAGGCACATGCACAGGCAGGTGAGGGAGGTTAGGCAGCCTGGGATTGTGGATATGTTGTCTGATTGTTGTAAAAACAATATATTCACCCAGAAAGTTACACAGTGCATCTTTAAAACCAAGCCATGCACCAATAACACAGCATTTCAGCAGCACAGAGCATGCTCAGATGCATCACCTCCACCACACCATGAGTGGAGTCAGGGTACGGAGACTTCAGGGACTTCCTGCTTCTACTGTCCTCCTCCACATGAGCTGGCTGTGTTCAACAGGGTTCAACATGTTATGGTCTAGTCCGACATCATCATCTATTATAATGATCCAATTCAACATGTGAGGATTCTCCTGGTTCTTTCAAACTTTATAGTTTCCACATTAGTTAGATCTGTGTACCGTTAATCAGAGTCTATTCATCTTGCTTTTAAACAGATGGGGGCAGCTAAAACAAATATTGTTAAAATGCAAAATTCTATTGTAATGTAAAGTATTGGGTCTAATCACTAACAGAAATCCTCAGGTTAAATATGTATAGATTTATCTTTTAGATTCATGGCAAAGTACAATGTAATTAATAGGGAAATTTCTCTCATGAGCCCATCTGAGAGTATGATATCATCACATTCTAGACTCTGAAAACCACCAATAAATTAGTTAGTCAACAACTTCACCATTTTCTCTGGGAGGCTTGAAAATGGCTTTGTAGAAAGATGAACTCACAAATGTATGTGTATATATCTATATGTATGTATATCACCCAAATGTACAGTATGTTTCTTACATGTGTAGGACTTACGTACTAGAGCCAGACTTACCTGCTCCACTGGTATGAATTCACCATGCTGCTCACACCCCAGGTCAAACACGTACTTCCCTGGGCCTGAAGGCTGCAATGTCACACAATTTAATCAGATTGTAGAAGGATAATTGCAAGAGTAGTCACCAAAAAGATATGAGCGATTTCATGTACATAGAGCAACTTTAGACCAACTATTAAACAGCCAATCCTACAGTATTTTCTGTTATAAAGTTGTTTCCTCATCACAAACATAACTGGAGTTGTATTTTGTTTCCATCACACATGTTTAACACATAAATCCTATTTCAACTGAGACCTTCTCTCAAACAGAAAACACCCTGTTTCTCTTTGTGATGTCATGAGGTAATATGGGAAATGCTCCACTGTGTTCTTAAACTTCACACACACTCATTAATCATTTGAATTATTTCAGCCCTGCAATAAAAGAAGAAGATAAAAGGTAGCTGTTAACCTGAAAACCATCACTACCACATTAATAAAGACATTTTGCAAAGGCAGAGGTGCCCACCTATGATACTTTGCAAATATAAAAAAAAAAGTCTTTGTCAAATGTGGACACTTGTAATCGTGACCAAGATCCTGCTCAGGATCAGGAGATGGTTCAACGGGTGCTGCAGAGTGGTCACTTTACTACTGTTCGAGTAATGGTATGGTTAAATGAAGAGGTGAAATGGAACTATTAGGAAAATAATACAAGCTGTGATATGAACTTAAAATAGAAAAAGTATATAAAATAAACACATTTGCATAAATTAACATATAAAATGCATAAAAAGAAACAATTAATTAATTAAAGAAAAAATAAAGTAATTAAATACAATTTAAATAATATAACATTTAATTAAATACAAGAAAATCATATAAAAGTATATATAATGAATTAATGGACAATTTGCATAAATTTGCATAACATTTAAATAAAAGTTTAAAAATAAATAATAAATACAAAATCAAATGAAAACAAATTAAATTATTTGAATAAATAAAAAATGTCATTAATTAACATACAGTATCAACATTTACATAAATTAACATAATAAAATCAAAAATAAATGTAAGTAATTAAATAAAATTAAAATATATAAAATAAATGGATGCAAATTTTATAAATTAATAAGTTAGCATAAATTAACATAGGTAAATAAAATAAAATACTAAATGAAATAAATTAAAATAATTAAATACAATTTTAATTTAATTTATTTCTTTTCTCTTAATTAATGTAAATTTGCATAAATTACCATAAATCTGCAAAAATTGCATAAATTTAACAAAACAAGAATAAGATAAAAAAGGAAACTAAACATAAATTTGCATTAAATATACGTAAATTAGCATAAATATACTTAAAAAAATTGATAAGAATGAAATAAATAAATAAAATAAATTAATGTAAATGTGTGTATTTTATCATAAATTTTAATAAATTACCATAATTACATATTTGCATCATTTAACAGATAAAATAAATTCAAATATTAAATAATGCCTCAAATTAAGATTAAATAAATTAATTACATCCATCCATCCATTTTCGTCCGCTTATCCGGGGCCGGGTCGCGGGGGCAGCAGTCTAAGCAGGGACTCCCAGACTTCCTTCACCCCAGACACGTCCTCCAGCTCCTCCGGGGGAACCCCGAGGCATTCCCAGGCCAGGCCTCCTCCCGGTGGGACATGCCCAGAACACCTCCAGAGGGAGGCGCCCAGGAGGCATCCGAAACAGATGCCCGAGCCACCTCAGCTGGCTCCTCTCGACGTGGAGGAGCAGCGGCTCTACTCCGAGCTCCTCCCGTGTGACTGAGCTCCTCACCCTATCTCTAAGGGAGCGCCCAGCCACCCTGCGAAGGAAACTCATTTTGAGCGCTTGTATCCGCGATCTCATCCTTTCGGTCATTACCCAGAGTTCATGACCATAGGTGAGAGTAGGAACGAAGACTGACCGGTAAATCGAGAGCTTCGCCTTTCGACTCAGCTCCCTCTTCAACACAACGGTCCGATACAGCGACTGCATCACTGCAGACGCTGCACCAATCCGCCTGTCAATCTCACGTTCCGCGGCCGCATCGACAATAGAGGCCAAGAATGAAGCCCACTCGGACTCCATATCTCCAGCCTCCCCCGGAATCCGGGAGAAGTCCTCCTGGAGGTGTGAGTTGACAGAGGGCTCTGCCAGACGTTCCCAGCGAGGGTCTCCTCACTACACGCTTGGGCCTGCCAGGTCTTTCCGGCTTCCTCCTCCGCCAGCGAACGCAACTCACAACCAGGTGGTGATCAGTTGACAGCTCAGCCCCTCTCTTCACCCGAGTGTCCAAGACACGAGGCCGGAGGTCAGATGACACGACTACAAAGTCGATCATCGACCTCCGGCCTAGGGTGTCCTGGTGCCACGTGCACTTATGGACACCCTTGTGCTCGAACATGGTGTTTGTTATGGACAAACCATGACTAGCACAGAAGTCCAATAACAAAACACTGCTCGGGTTCAGATCGGGGAGGCCGTTCCTCCCAATCACCCTTCTCCAAGTGTCACTGTCGTTGCCCACGTGGGCGTTGAAGTCCCCCAGTAGAACAACGGAGTCCCCGGTCGGTGCACTGTCTAGTAGCCCTCCCAGGGACTCCAAGAAGGCCGGGTACTCTGCACTGCTCTTCGGCCCATAGGCCGACACCACAGTGAGAGACCTGTCCCCGACCCGAAGGCACAGGGACGCGACCCTCTCCTTCACCGGGGTAAACCCCAACACACAGCGGCTGAGCTGTGGGGCAATGAGCAGGCCCACACCAGCTCGCCGCCGCTCCTCGCAGCCAATGCCAGAGAAATGGAGAGTCCAGCCCCTCTCAAGGAGTTGGGTTCCAGAGCCCAAACTGTGCGTGGTGACATTCCATGTCCCCAGAGCTAGTCTCCATGTCTGGAGATCCGGTCGCTGAGGCCCCCGCCTTCGACTGCCGCCCAGATCTCTTTGCACCGGCCCCATATGGCTCCTCCCGCAGGTGGTGGGCCCACAGAAGGGTGGCCCCACGTCGCTCGTTTGGGCTGTGCCCGGCCCGGCCCCGTGGGGGAAGGCCCGGCCTCCAGATGCTGGCCTTCGAGCACCCACCCCAGGCCTGGCTCCAGGGTGGGGCCCCGGTGACGCCATTCCGGGCAACGTAACTGGCCTCTGATTAGAACTCATCATGTGGGGCTTCTGAACCGTTCTTCGTCTGACCCGTCCCCCCGGACCTGTTTGCCTTGGGTGACCCTACCAGGGGCATGAAGCCCTCGACAACATAGCTCCCAGGATCATTCGGGCACTCAAACCCCTCTACCACGATAAGGTGACGGTTCAAGGAGGGGGAAAATTAATTACATGAAAATATAATTTTATAAATAAATTGTAAATTAAATAATTTAACATACATTTGCACACATTTACATGAAAACATTAATTTAAATCAAATAAGTAAATTTCAATAATAATAATTTCAAATTAAAATAAAGTATTAGTAGTAATTATATAAAATTTTAAGTAAATCTAATATTTTAAATTAAATATATATAATATAAACTTTTTATAAAAAATACAATTAAATAAAGATAAATTTAAATAATAAATAATACATTGAATTAAAATAAATTTAACTAATACATTTTAAGTTTAATTCAATATATTAATTTCAAATTAAATAAATTAACATAAAATAAGATTTAACTGTTGGCAACATTTCAGGACTTGTCTTCATTGTTAACTGGGTAAAAAATGGGTGAGTTGGTTAGGAGAAAAAGTTGAAGATGAAAGAAAAAAAGAAAAGAAAATAATATTCTGATACGAGAGCAACGTTCCGCTATACATTTTCGGAAACCTCTGGTGCATTGCATTTCTCTTCCCACCGTGACCATACAAGTGACAAAAGCTTTATGTTGATTTGAACATATGTCCTTCCAGTTAATTAATTACAAATCGCACAGTTACCCTTTCAGTTACTCTTGACTAATTTCTTGTGACTTACACGTTTTTAAGTACATTTTCTGTTGTTGTTTTCTGTCAGATGGATTAAAGTTTTTCAGTGAAGATGTTTTAAAGCTCCTCCACACAGCTTCACATTTAAGCTTAACACATAATAGTCGTTGAGTAGTATGTTGCATCAGAAGTGTGACTTACACTATTCTTGACAAAGTGTCCCTTGTATCTGTGGTTGGAGTGGATGTACTCTCCCTCTGACTCCATCTTGCCATTTTCCCATGAGCCTTTGTACTTGGAGCCCATGTTCTGGTAGTTATAGGTGCCCTGGCCATGTCTACAGGAAATATAATCATTTTCAATTGGTTTAAGGCTGAAGACCGAGATACTACACTAGAACATGAAATCTATGAGAATGAATAGAAAGTTCATTGTGTAACTTCTCTGGTGGAGAGTCTGCCACATGCTTGTCTCCATGTCTGGATGTCTGGATGCCTGGAATATTGTATGGTACTAAATGTATCTATCTTCATGGCAAACAGGTCAGGTGATGTCACCAGGAGGAGTTATAGGTCAGATGTGAAAGGCGACAAATCATCTCATCATTGTAATTCCAATCAAGTCAGCTCTTAAACTGAAGCTCAGATTAAGTCTAACTTGAGTAACAGATCTTCAGAGAGCTGTACTTGCAGAGAGCTTCACACTACCAGGGAATGTTGATGACATCAGCTGCAATCAATACTAAGAGATGCTGCACTGGCTCTGTAGAACACTCATGCTGTGTCCCAATACACGCATCAAGAATCTCGGACTTCCGGTCATTGTGCAATGCATACTGGGAAGGATTTTCTGAAAAAGTGAGCATCAAACCACCATGTTTGTTTTCCCAGTGGGATGTGTCTATTGTCAAAGTCGATGTTTTCTAGTCTTTTGAACCATATCGCTTTTGTTTCTGGTTCTGATATTGTCATATTTTAGTTTTGGGATTCGGACATCGTAATTGTGTGGTTGTTGGATCATAACAGCGGAAAACTGCTTGAGAAATTTGTTTGCGAACTCCATAGATGCAAAAGTGAATCAGATCTGTGTGACTGCAAACCTCCGTTCAAACTGTCCCTTCCCAACGGAATTGAAAAATAGTGAAAGGTGAAGGCGATGGGCAGTATTGATCCACTGGAAGGATGAAAAAGGAACCCTTGGACTGTCTAAATCATCCCAAGTTTGCAGTGAACATTTTCTATGTGGAGCGCCATCAAAGCAAAATCCCGATCCCTCACTCAGCCTCGGTTACGAATTTAAAAAGTCAACGCCAAAGCAAAAGGCACCACCAAGAAACACCTTCCACTGCAAAGAGACCAAGACTTAATGTTGCTGTAAAACCACAAGAACAAGAAAGTGCAGCTCAGTCTGTTTGTCTCCTGCACCTCTCGATTAACAAACGGGACCCTGCTTTGTTGGCGCTCCACATAGAAAATGTTCACTGCAAACTCGAGATGATTTAGGCAGTCAAAGATTACCTTTTTTGTCCTTCCTGTGTATCAGTCTTGCCCATCGCCTTCACCTTTCACTATTTTTCAACTCTGTTGGGAAGGGAAACAGTTTGAATGGAGGTTTGCAGTCACACACATCTGATTCCCTTTTGCATTTATGGAGTTCACAAATACATTTCTCGAGCCGTTTTATGCTGTTAGGATCCAACAACCACACAATTATGATGTTGGAATCCCAAAACTAAAATATGACAATATCAGAACCAGAAACAAAAGCGATATGGTTCAAAAGACTAGAAAAGATCGGCTTTCTCATTAGACGCATCCCACTGGGAAAACAAACATGGCGGTTTGATGCTCACTTTTTTGGAAAATCCTTCCCAGTATGCATTGCGCAATGACCGGAAGTCCGAGATTCTTGATGCGTGTATTCGAGGGCTGCAGCCTCCGAAGGCTGCTTTTAAGGCCACATACGTCACTTCCGGTGAAACAAGGTCTGCCCCATTTAATTTTTATGTTGTTGTTTTTTTTTTTTATTACAGAAAAACAACAACATGACAAAACAGCAAATGTAAATACACTATAAATTGCAAATGGGATTGTTACGCATCAACGCAAAATCCTCATGGTTTTCTTCTATGAAAGTCTTTTTTTTTTCCTATTGCAGAAAACATAGCAACAAGACAAAACATCAGTGGTATATACATTATAAAGTGCATATGGAATAGTTGTTTCATCAATGCAAAGTCCAGTTCACAGTTATGGCAGGAGTGAGGGGTGGAAAATATACATAATGTCATAAATTAAATACAGCTATACTTCTTCTAGATATTGTAAGTTTTAACTGCCTTTTTGTTTTGAACCTGTTTTATTGTTTGAAAATATTGCTGGATATTTGGTTTATTTTGAGCCCATTTGGTTTTGTGTATATGATACTTTGCCAGCATAATGTGAATGAGGAACCTGAGATCTTTGGGGATGGAGGAGCTGGTGAAATACAACAGGACGTCGCTTTCCTGGAGGCTGATCGGGTGTTTGGTTTTGGTTTGGATGAGTTGTTTTATGTGGGTCCAGATGTTTCTACTGTATGTACGTTGGCAAAAACAGGTGCTTGTTTCTATTTCGCTGCGACAGAACACAGTCGTAATCAATCTTTAATTTGAATCTTTCTAAAAAAAAATTTGGCTGGGTAAACATTATGGAGAATTTTGAAATTGACTTCTTTAATTTTATTATAAATCCAGAGCCTCTCGCCAACCAGCCACGCCCTGCTCCAGTCAACCTCCTCGTGCAATGAGTTCCAATATGAAGTGGCTGGGCATCTGTTTGGAGGTTAAATAATATTTCTGATGTATTTATTCGAACATGTTTTTAATTTTAATATTGACCTCTCCCAAATATAGATTGATATTAATTTTCTGGAGCTGATTTGAGATCCCTGCAACAAATGCAAAGTGCCTTTAGGTATTGCTTTACACACTTTGATGTATTCTGATTGTTTACTTGGAAACTGATAGATGATTTTAAATTAATTGTATGAAAACATTTGTCCTTGTGCATTGATCAGTTGATTAACCCACACTATCTCGTTGTCAAACCAGGTTCTAAAAAATAATGATTTATTATGATGCTTAATTCGTACATTATTCCAAATGTAGCAGCTGGTTGGCGAGAAGCTGTGCTTGTAGATCAGCCTCCAGGAAAGCCACGTCTGCTTATGGAAGTCTGACAATTTGATAGGTAATTTATCCGGTTTGTAGTTGCATTTGAGTAAGAACTCAACTCATCCAATTTGATTTAATATACATTTAGGAATTGCATTCCATAAATGTAACTCTTCCTTTACCACTGGACTCAGCCAATTAATTTTAAACACATTATTAGTAGTTTCAGAACTTAATACCTCCAGTCCTCCATATCCCTTTTTGGTTACAGGTTACATTTTTTTTAAGGTAATGGGCCTTATTTCGCCAGATGAAATCGAAGAGTAATTTATCTAATTTCTTACAAATATTCCTGGGCATATTCAGGGCCCGAGAAATGTAAACTGACCTTGAGATTCTCTCAGCCTTTGCCAACAGAACTTTGCCATGTATCGATAAGTCTGGCATCAGCCACATACTGAACCTTGGTTTAACTTGGTTGACTGTTGGGTTGAAGTTAAGATTGCAGCGGTTTTCTTGATTATGATCGAGGGTAACCCCAAGGTAAGTCACAGTTCTCTTTACAGGGACACTGGACATTTCAGAGTAGTCACGATTTTTAAGTAGCGACAGGACAGATTTACCTAAATTTACACAGAACCCAGACACCTCTGAGAAATCTCTGATACCGTACAGTGAATAGCATTACTCACATCACTTTGATTGTTCAAGAACACAGCTGTGTCGTCTGCCAACTGAGAGATTTAAAATTCCCTGTCAAAGGCAGAGACACCTCGAAATTCTGACCTTTTGATGTAAGTAGCCATCATTTGTGCAATAAGTAAAAACAGATAAGGACTGACAGGACAGCCTTGCTTTATTCCTTGTTCAATATTTATCCTGGCAGATGTTCCATATAACATTTTGACAGAACTATTACAGTCTTTGTATAGTGTTGGAATTGCAGCAATAAAACGTTTTTCAAAGCCAAATGTTTCCAGACTTTTTATCATAAATTGGTGATTGACTGTGTCAAAAGCTTTATAGAAATCTACAAATAAAACAAGACTGTCCTCTTTTATATACTCATTATAATCCATAAGGTCTAAGACAAGTCTGAAGTTATTTATTATACTTCTACCTGTGATAAAACCTGACTGTTCTTCATCTATAAGTCCCTCCAGTCCTGACTTAAGCCTCTTGGCAAAAATTAAGGCAAATATTTTGGTGTCATTATTATTTAATAGAGTGGTTGGTCTCCAGTTTTCTAAATGTAATTTATCCTTGTTTAGGAATTAGTTTAATAAGACCTTGTCTTAGTGATGCTGGTAAATGTCCTTCCGTGATAGCTTCTTCAAAAAACTTGGACAAGGAATGAAGCTAGAGCTTCTTTAAAGTGTTTTTAGAATTCGCTGGTCAGCCCATCATTACCAGGAAACTTGTTGTCTTTCAATGTTTCCATAGCATTTATAACATCAGAGATATAAATATTTTTATCACATGACTTTTTGACATTTTCATCAATTGTGTTCAGATTTTGTTTCACATTGATGCACACAACTGTAAAGCAACTTTAATATACACCAAAAATAAAAAATTTAAAAATCACAAAATGAAAACAAAATACCTGAAGTGCTTGTGCCACTGTCCGTTGTATGTGTCTCCATTGGGGTAGGTGTAGATCCCATGGCCATGCCTCAGGTCCTCAGCCCAAGAACCTCCCATATAAAGACACATAGACACAAGTTACCGTTAATCATGTTTAACCAAATATATTTTAACCAGATATAGGTGAATGAAGGCTTCTAGACAGAGAATATGTACAAATAGTATATTGTTGATCAAATGTATTCTATTTTGCCATTTAGAGTTTGAATTGACAGTCAGGCCGTGTTATGGGCTGATTTCAGTACACACCTTCATACTTGGATCCGTCTGGGTAGTGAAAGGTGCCCTGTCCGTGTTTCATATTCTGGAAGTAGTTCCCCACATACCTTGCTCCGTTCCTGAAGTGATAGGTGCCCTGAGGAACACACACAAGACTATAGTTTTAAATCCATTCTGTGTATATGTAAATTTGTATTTTTAAGATGTTGTTGTCTTTTTTGCTGTTTGTTTGTTTTGTTTTTATAAAGACAAGTTTAAAATCTTAATATTTCCATCCATCCATTTTCGTCCGCTTATCCGGGGCCGGGTCGCGGGGGCAGCAGTCTAAGCAGGGACTCCCAGACTTCCTTCACCCCAGACACGTCCTCCAGCTCCTCCGGGGGGACCCCGAGGCGTTCGCAGGCCAGCCGAGAGACATAGTCCCTCCAGCGTGTCCTGGGTCTTCCCCGGGGCCTCCTCCCGGTGGGACATGCCCGGAACACCTCCCGAGGGAGGCGCCCAGGAGGCATCCGAAACAGATTCCCGAGCCACCTCAACTGGCTACTCTCGACGTGGAGGAGTAGCGGCTCTACTCCGAGCTCCTCCCGTGTGACTGAGCTCCTCACCCTATCTCTAAGGGAGCGCCCAGCCACCCTGCGGAGGAA